TACAATTTTTCACCGTAATTAAGTTTATTGATTTATTTCAACAAAAAGTAGACTTTTGGAAAACTTGATGTCAAATTCTATATACTGGTGGAATATGTGGCTTGCTCTTGACACTTTGGGAGAGTGAATGTATGCAAAAAAATATTTCTAGATAAATTGCCAGTGTGAATTCCGTCAACACATGGCAACATTTTGGAATACAGTGCACTATGTAATAGAATTCGTTGGCTTCTTCATTAATGTCTGTCTAATTTCTTGAGTCACTGGTTACATGAGCTGTTGATTTGGGCTCTTGATATAAGTTCTACTTCTCCAATTTTGGATCAGACAAAAGTATTGCAATAATAGCCCTTTTGGGTGGATGAAAGGGTCTGACATGAATATAACTTTAATATGACATGAATATAACTTTAATATTTACCCAACACGTAACATTGGTATTAATATATTCTTGTGCTTTTTATGTAACTGGCCTTGCTAAAATTACATTGTGCTAATCTGTTTCAAGTTAATTATATTCCTTTTGCAATCAGTGGCCAACAATAAGGGTACGAGTGCTCAAGGAATTGGTCTATAAGTGAGCGACTCTTCCCGCTGTAATGTTAAAAATTTTAAAAAGTTCAATTGTACGTATGGATGCAAAACGTCATAGTCACTATATGCATGACAACACAATCACACTTACTTTTGTAGTGTTAATCTTGCACTACCTAGATATGTTGGAAGCATTCTAGATACTGTGAATGTTTTAATTTGTAATCAAGAATCACTCGTTCAACCCAATTAAGAAAAAAGAAAGCAAAACAAAAGGCAAAAATCAAAAATCAAAATAGAACAGTTGCTATATAATTCACTAAACTTCATGACTATGATTTTAGAACTGCCATTAAGAGTTTTGATACCTTACTTCTACTTGTTTCTTTTTTTTTNTTTTCGTAATTTTCAGATCATCATGCAAGGCAAATAATTTTTCTCTTATTGGTGGTACGATATTGTCCAAATGTTTCTTCAAACAAGCAAAACTTACATGAACATTGTGGAATTTATGTTTTGATGATAGGAATCAAGTACTTCCTAAAAATTTTCCACATACAGATACTAGTAGTATTACAAAATACAAACAGTGCACACTAAACCACCTGAAAATAATTATTATGCCTAGCCATTTTAACAATTATAGATTGGTTAGGTTTGAGATTGGTTCCCAAACACAAACTGGGAGGGTTATATTTTTAAGGGTAATTATCATCCACCCCCTTTTAGATAGTTATATATTCAATGAGATCCCTCTATTATCTCAAATATCACTAACACGCCTTTTAATTTAGGATTAATCTTATTTTGCACCCCGAAAGATTGTTCGAATCTCAATTTACACCCTCAAAGATTAAAAATCTTAATTTACACCCTTAAAGGTAGAAATTTGTATCAATGTGCACCTAAAACTAAATTGATAAATTATATCTAGATCCTCTCATACTTGTCACTTAATCATTTAGACCTCTTCACATTTAGAATATTACTCATACATCTTATGACATTTGTGCACGTATAACACGTAACCCATTTTCATTGATATCTATTAATATAACCGTTAAAAAATATAATTTTATCCTAATAAAAAATTATAATTTCATATTACCCTTTATTTTATGGGTTCAATATATTCTAAAGTTTAAAATCTAGTTTACCATTTGAATATCTAATAAAATGTAAATATTTATATAATGTTTTTCATATTACCTTTTATATAAATATCTACATTTTATTAGACATTCAA